GACAAAGCTCGTAGTGCCATAGAAATTCTTTGCTGAATGGCGCCGAGGAAAGTGAAACATCAAATGATGATCGGGGTGATCGCGGGTAGTCGGAAACAGAGACTTTTGCTTCTTTGCACTGCGCCGTCTGCCTGGGGCCTTCTTCCGCTGATCACTGCTGTGGGCTTTCGGGCGAAGCACCTTCTATCGTCTCCCAGGAGGAGGCAATTCCTGCCACTGCAAGTTGTTTTTTTTTCTGAAGAGGCGATGCCACTGTCGTCGGTTAACATCAGATTTTGTTGGCTCTATCGGATAGACTCACCTAAGTTGTCCTTGTGGAAAATAGCTTCAGCTGGCAAATGTCCTGTTCGTCTGGCACCTGCTAGACGCTACCTCCTCGACCTCTTCGAAAACATATGGTGGAGGCGTATTTTGCCACGGCTCGGCGTCGATTTCCAGCGGTACCGATTGATGCTCCGCCCCTGCTTCGGCGCATTCTGTTGCCTGTTTAGTCGACGATTTAGAATTGCAAGCTCAAAAACATACCTTTTGTTTCGCAACTCTGTGAGTTGATTGCAACCCTGTTGGAGCCAGCATTGGCTCGTTTACGAGGCCAGGCGCCCAAGTTGTTGGGTATAGCCAGGTAATCGGCATGTGGCAATTGCCCATCCTCTTCAATGCGACGGCCCCCAGGGAGTAACGACAGGGGGCTGGCTCGCGGATTGCAATGTCACCTCGCGCGGGGATGAGTTCTCTGCAGACGACTGAAGTGACCAAGCGGGTCGTGTAAGCGGTCAAGTAGCCTTKTTGCTACGAGTCGCTGAGCGTACACATCTCAACGGGGTGATGGTAAGGTCACTCATCCCTGAGGGCCCTAACTGAGGGGATAGTAACATGGAACTGAAGGAAGAGGTATTTTATAAGTAGGTGTGGATATGACTTTCTTGGACTTCCAAAGACAATTTAGAACTGCCTGATGGTGAGAATGTGACGATGAGAAGAAGAAGATGCCTTGAGGGGGAGAGAAGGGGCTATATATCTTGTTCTTGAAGTCCTGAAACGTGAATCTATTCGCGTATTCTCGCTTACTTTTGCCTACGTGAATATTCGCAGGTCAATCGCGTGAATCTCATGCCACTTTCTCTAACTCCGTCACTATTCTTTGCCATGATTCTACAATAGTCGAATCGTGAATAATCACTCCGCCATCACTGCTGAGCCTGGATGAGTGTATCTCGGAGCAACTCCGACAGCCGTCATTCATCCCACTCTCCCCCCACTGCTTGCTTGGACCTTGGCCCCGCGCTTTATAAACACCACGATCTCGTCGGACTGGAGAATCAAAGTAATCACTAATTCAATCCTACATTCAGACTTGTAAATACAGAAAAAGAGCAGATCAATCGAAATGTCCAAACCTACCATCGGCTTCGTCGGCCTAGGCGCCATGGGCTTCGGCATGGCCGCCAACCTGGTGCGCGAAGGATATCCCGTTGTCGGCTTCGACGTCTTCCCCGCCTCGGTGCAGCGATTCCAGTCTCAGGGAGGAATTCCCGCCTCGTCGCTTCGGGAGTCGGCAGAGGGGAAGGACTTTTACATTTGCATGGTCGCCTCGGCGCCGCAGGTCCAGTCTGTTCTTTTCGGGGAGGACGGTGTTGTACAATGTACGTAACGTCCATTTACTTTACCGTGAGGAGCAAAGCTGACACTGAGATGTATAGACCTCCCGAAGAACGCCACCCTCCTCCTCTGCTCCACAGTCCCCGCTTTCTACGCACAGTCCGTAGCTGCGGAGCTGCAGTCCCGCGGCCGTGCGGATATCCGCTTCATTGACTGTCCCGTGTCCGGGGGTGCCAAGCGCGCAGCCGACGGGACCTTGTCCATCATGGCGGGTGCGTCGGAGGAGGCGCTGAACAGCGGTCGCGAGATCCTGCAGGTGATGTCTGATTCGAACAAGCTGTATCTGGTCCCCGGCGGCGTCGGGGCCGGCAGCAACATGAAAATGGTGCATCAGGTGCTGGCGGGGATCCATATCCTGGGCGCCAGTGAGGCGATGGGGTTCGCGGCGCAGCTGGGGCTCGATGCGAAGACGGCCGCTGAGAAAATCATTGGTTCCGAGGCGTGGACGTGGATGCATGAGAACCGGCTGCAGCGGATGGTGGAGGAGGATTGGAACCCCGGAGCCAGTGCGCTGACGATTATTCTCAAGGATGTGGTATGTTGCCTGTACGGAGTGTTTTCTACGAATACTGACTGTCTTAGGGTATTATCACCACTTCTGCCCGCCAGCACCACTTCCCGACACCTCTGTGCTCGACTGCCGAACAAGTCTACCTCTCGGCACTGCTGCAGGGCTACGGCCCTAAAGACGACTCTGCCATGGTCCGCCAGTACTATCCCAAACCTCTCGCCGACGTGGCCTGCACCGCAGAGGATCCTTCAGCTGCCCTCCAGCTTGTCCTCGATCTGATGCTGGGAGTCAACCTCGTGGCAGCCGCAGAGGCTATTGCGTTTGCGCGGTATCTGAACGTCGATCTCGCGATGTTCCACCGACTAGTCAGCGACGCGGCTGGCGCAAGCAAAGTGTTTATTCACAAGGGTTTGGAGATGATCGAGGGGAGAATTGGAGACAAGGCGCCAGAAGGGTCACAAACGCTCGATGAAGCCGTATTGCAGATGGAGAAGGTGGTGCAAAAGGCGAGGGACCTGCATTGCCCGCTGCATCTGGGGAATGCGGCGTTGGAAAAGTTGCTGACGGCAAGGAGACACGGACTCGGAGGGGAAGCGAGCACGAGCGTGATCAAGATGTTTGGCCAGTGACTGTATTCAGACCTCTCTATGTAATGCCTTCAATTAATGCCTCTTAATTATCCCCTGAATTGCGCGGGATGCCAAATGCGCATTGACGTCAGTCGGACCAACTCCGTGCAGAGAGTGGGGGAGCCATCCTCCAGAGTAAACAACCCCATATATATAAAGCCATATACCCCGATTGAACCTACAGTTCTGTACTGAAATCCTTACTCACCCGCATCTTCCTCTTCTCTTCGCCTAAATTCTATCGCAAAAATGGCCTCCAAAATGGCCTCCAACCGCGCCCTCTCCATCCTCGACCACGCCGCCTCAAACCACTATGGCGTGCCCGCCATGTGCTGCTACAACCTCGAGGGCATCCTGGCCACCGTCCGCGCCGCAGAAGCCAAGCGCTCCCCGGCCATGATCCTCCTCTTCCCTTGGGCCATCCACTACGCCGACGGCCTGCTCGTCCACGCCGCCGCCGAAGCAGCCCGCAAAGCGTCCGTCCCCATCGCCGTACATATGGACCACGCGCAAACCCCCGAGATCATCCGCTACGCCGCAGACCTAGGCGGCTTCGACGGCATCATGGTGGACATGAGCCACTACGAGAAGGAAGAAAATCTACGGCTTACGCGGGAGCTGGTGGAATACTGCCACGAGCGCGGGATTGCGACGGAGGCAGAGCCCGGGCGGATCGAGGGCGGGGAGGACGGGGTTGCGGACACGGCTGACCTGGAGGGACTGCTGACGACTCCAGAAGAGAGCCGCGAGTTTGCGGATACGGGGATTGACTGGCTGGCTCCTGCTTTTGGGAACGTGCATGGCGAGTATGGGCCGCGGGGGATCCGGCTGGAGTATGATCGGTTGAAGAGCATTCAGGACGCGGTTGGGGACAGGGTCAGGCTGGTGCTACATGGAGCAGATCCGTTCACGCCAGAGATCTTTGCCAAGTGTATTGAGTGTGGGGTGTCCAAGGTGAATATCAACAAGGTGTTGAATAATGAGTATGTACGGGTGCAGCGCGAGAAATCGGGGCGGGCGCCCTTGACGGCTGTGCTGGAGGAGGCGACGAATGAGATGCAGAAGGCTGTAGAGAGGTGTATGGATATGCTGGGGTCTACGGGGAAGGCTGCTTAATGCTATCAGTATTATTATTATTTCATAGACCTGCGATATTCCTTCTTTGCCATTGCTCTTTCAACAATGAAATAAATAATTTTAACCCCACGTTTCCCCGCATCTCGGCCGAGGACCGACTCGGCAGTCCTCCGTCTCTGTATGCCGCGCTCAGTCTCGGGGCAAACGCCGAGATATGTCCACCGCAACCGCGTGGTGACCCTATCAATATACCTCTAGTGTTCAATCAAATGAGGAGATTGGTATGCTGAAGACACTGCTTTATCCCTGATGTCTGAATAATCCCTCTTAAGTATCGATATAATGGTCAACGGCTGCCCTAGGAATTCCAATATTTGAGAAAGTGCCAACTTGTGGAGAGTTATTGCGCACACTATGAAGGTGTCTCAACTTTCTCAAGTCACAAGTGTTGAGAAAGTTGAACATAGCATGATGAGTGTGGCTCAGAAACCGTTAAGAACTGTTCATCTTGGCTCCAGCCTCCACCATATCGAAGACGTCGCGCCAGCCATATTACAAACCAGATTCGGTGCCATCTACCGGAGGGCCCGACGTTCATGAAGCGATGTCACTTTTGACCTTGCCCACGCCGCCACGCGCCATTGCGCAAAGACATTCGATTTGGGCCTTGATCTATCATCGGGCATGAATACTTTTCGAAAGCCGAGTTCGGCGGGTTTCAACGATTATTTGATAATCTTTGAACCAGAAAGTCTGTATCCACCTAATCATGGCTAGGAGGGAACGCTTGTACATATCACCAAGAAGGAGCTCCATAGTATGTTGCAGTCTGTAAGTAGCACGCTTTCGCTATGTCCATTTTCCAATCACAGCCTAGTACTAGGGTACCCTAGTTTAGAGTGGGCAGGACCCACTGATGCACCCAGAAGGCTTAGAAACGGGCACAAGCTTAGGTCCATTATTTACATAATAGCTCAGCAGCCAGATGACTGATAAATTCTGGACTCGTTCGATCTTAACTCGTGCCTTCTGTTTTAAGCAGTGTGCATTGATTCAATCTATATATCGAGAAACGACTACATTTCCATCTTTAATAAGCCCGAAAATCCATCCAATCTCACCCAATGCCGTCTCCCCGAAAGGAAAAAGCTACAGCCCTCTCCTCTTACATCGGCTTTCCCGAGCACCTGATGCAAAAGGCCGGATTCTACAAGCATCCCTTTTTGTAAGTCAAATACCATATCTGGCTGCCCCGATTGACTTGCCGTAGATTCCTCGTATCTGTTGCCGTATTCCACTTGATCTACTACCGGACCTGCCAGCTCGTATGTGCGGTGGATACGTGCTATCTGCACACCTTATTTTCTCGGCTTCCTCTGTTTCTCTTTTTACTGTCTTTTGGTCTATCGCGGAGAACGGCGAGATGAGATGCTTCGGAATGCCGGAATATCGTCAGTAATAGAGAAGTAGCAAGTTGATGGCAGCAGTTGGGTATGGAATATAGTCAGATAGTCGGCGCGAATTGGATATATAGTTCGGTCTGTACTTAGGTAAACACTATCTGAGAGACAGCAAGCTTGTTGATTACTTCGGACCATATGTTTTCTATATGCCCAGAAATCTTCAATTGTAGAGACAGCACTTCAGTATATATTAGTCATTTAGTGCTAGAAATAGTTATATATAATAAGCTTAATCCAATAAACCATGTCACACTTTCAGTATATATGATTAACGCAGACTACCCTATAAGTATTCATATTTTACTAAAACAGGGATATTTTGTAGAGTTATTACGGAAAATGCTAGAACCGTAGGTAACTAATTAGTCATGCGTGATGATGAACACTCCTTTCAACCATTTACCTCGACTAATCGACGTTTATACAGGACTTGGACTTGGCTACCCAGAGCAGAGTTCTCGCTGCGATCGTTACGGCCATTGATCGGACTTATATACTCTGCATTGTGGCTGGTGCAATCGCCCTGCTTGCGACATTTGGTATGACATGGGAGCGGTTGTTCATCAACGCTACGGCTGCTGCATGAGGAGGCTCAAGATATGGTTCATATGGCCTGAAGCCGCTAAGGTAATATCATTAATTTAATTTAATTTCTTCTCTTCCGTTGGTCTCTAGAGTCTTTTGGGACCGCATGCGGAGCCCTATTTTACAAGGATCCAACTGCCCTTGAGAAAGTATATTGCTGCAATGTCTCCATCAGCACCTCCTTTGGATCCATGTTGAACGGGCGGGATGTAAGTCTTTGGACCAAAGCCACTAAGCTGACCCCTCGAGATGTACTCAATAAACCCAAGGCAATATTCTCCATCTAACGATCCTCTTGTACTCCTTCCAGTCCTCACCGTACTTCTTAGCGCACATGACATCGTCTCGACGTTCGCGGTGGATTAACAAGATTCCAAAGTAGAGCACGTAGAAGTAGGTGAAGATCACGCCCCAACCAGCCGCCGGTCCTTGAATAGCCACCCGCCCATCCAGCATAGGAACGGCCGGGGAGGCATCAGGTAATGCACTGCCCACCGATAAAATCATGTAGCCTGCGAATCCTGTCGGCAGGCTGAATGGTAGCGCCTGCAACCAGTCCCCAAAGTAGTTGATGTGTCTAGAGACACCCCACCATCCGGCCGTGAGGAGCCGCGTTCCCCGTTTGGTTTGAATATAGGATAGATTAGCCACGGCTGGGCTGTTCGGCTGTGTTCGGAAAGCGTGCTTTTGGTTATTGGCGGCCTTGAAGATATAGATGCCTAGCGCAAATACAGCACTCACAGCCGCGATCCGCGGCCAGCCAAGATGTACAGGGTAGGCTGAGAGGTAGCGGCACTGAGTCGAGTAAAGGAATGGTACCCAGACAAGATCACCGAATGAGAGCATGAAGCCCATGCCGTCGGTGGTGATATCCATCATCGTTAGAATGCTGGATTCATTATATTGGCTGCTCAGAACGTAATATGCTTGTACAGCTGTCGTGAAGACGATGCTGTCAGAGATGTAGCCATAGTTGCGATACTGCTTGGCTAGAAGGGCAAGATCAAGCAGGATCCACCCGGTCAGACCAGGGCAGACTTCGCACCAGGTCTTGATGTCGACTTCCCCGAAGAACGGCAGAGTGACGCGAGGGTTCAGCTCACGGCCAATGAAGAAGTCGTAGATCGGATTACTCGTGGCACCTCCAGCAGCTAACTCTCGAAGGTCCCGGTTGGGATAATTAGTGTCCACAGTAAAACTGTAGATGTAAAGAAAGGCAGAGAGTGCATATGCAATTAAGATGTTCGCTGTCAAAAGCTGCACATAGTTGTCGGTGATGTAAGACCAGACGGGGAAGTCGATGCCTTGAAAGTAGGTCCCTGCAGCACAGATGGCTAGAGTAACCACACTTGCAGAGAATGCTTGGGAATTCTTAGCTCTGGCCATGTACAGAAGAGTGCGTGATAGAGTGTATATTTACCATTAAAGTGGTATGACAGTGGACGGCCATGGTGCATCAGTTTAGTGCCATAGACTTGTCTCGCAGGAAGAATTCTCCAGAGAAGTAGCCCCCAAATATAGTAGGCAAGAGTAATAAATGTCACCTCCCAGCTGAAGAAATTGGCCATAGTGGCGCTAAGTAGTCCTGTGTCTGCTTTCACCTTTTCCCAGGAGAGCGAGCGAATATGTAGAAGAGATGGTATTGGGCAACCAGCGACATCATTACAAGCAAAAGCAAAGATGTACAGCAGCAATGGCAAGCCAATGGTGATGGCTGCGGCACCCAGGCTGTATGAGGTTAAGATGTTAGCTTTGATTTGAATGAAGATGACATTTCCTTACGGCCCGCCGAACTCATATTCGGTGCGCATTTGAGATCGTTTCCACCGAGAATTGATTTACTTCAGGGATGGCTGAGAGGACGCGAATCCCTTTCGAAAACAGCTCTTGGACGTGGATCGTATCATGTAATCACTAACCATGCCCTTGGCCAATGAAACACGGCTGTCAAAAGTACTTTGTATCCTTTTTATGGAATAGCGCGCGTGCAACAGAGAGATTGCCTTGGCTCTTGTATGATCTAAGGTATCTAGGCTGTGCCTGTAGACAAAAGGCAGAGAAGATGCCATTGAGATGATGGTATTCAAGTGGTTATCCTTTAATAAAGGTTTAAGTAAATATGAAGTATTTCTCAATGCAAGTACGCATGGACTCTTTTTCAGGCATATGTGCCATATATAAAATTGCTTAAACTAAGCTATATTTCTCTCCAGCATGCAAAAATAGCCACATTCATTGACAAAAGCCATATTCAGCTTCGACTTTCCACTGGAATGTTCCAATATAAGATATCTTATACGCAGACTCTAGGGGCCCTGGAGGATTTTCACAAAGCTTGAGGAGAATGGTATCTGTATACGGGCCATGAGAAAAGATGGCCACACAGGAGTTAAAACTTGCTGCTATTACATAGAAGAGCATTCTACGTCGAATTTGCCAACGGCATCTTTTAGATACTAATTTGGGTCCAGGTGTGTATGCCTAACAACGTGAGAATGTTGCCGTGGAAGCCCACACAAGACCATTAGAACTTCATTGAGGAGCTCTATCCGAATGTCGCATCAGACATGGTACATAGCAGGGATGCTAGTATGTGTATAATACCACTCTCCGAACGATTGCAGGTTATTTCGAGCTCCGAAGTCACATGGGACGGTGTGTCTCCTGGTCCCTTACTAGAAAAATCCCAATGGTATCTGTGGAGTAACTGCTCAACCGAGGCCTGACTTTCTCGGACATCTCTAAGTGTACAGTGTTGTGCAGCTGCGTTAGAGAGTACGTTGTCGTTTGAAGCAGAGAATCGAGTTTATATTGATGAAAATGGAATGAATATGTCGAGATCGCAAAGGGCTGTAGGCAGTAGCATAGCCCGTGGACAGGCGGTGGTGAGAGGCTGAGCGGCGGTTCAATGCGGGCTATTTCAGCGCTAACGATGCCATCATATAGAGAGGTACTATAGCTACCTAGTTCATTTAATTTATCACCCCCTCTGGTTGCCTTTATAAGTGGAATTCTAGGGCCGCCGCATCTTGGCATTCTTGCACCTTGGGCTTTATATAAGCTATGCGCCTTTTGTTTTTCAGTTCTGGTCTTATTTTCCCTTTTATTCTCAACAACCCTGAGTTAAATCCGAACACTCCTACAAATACTGTGTATTAAGCTTATGCTTCCTATCTAGCTAACCAAGGGAGTTGATGCCACTTGGTTTGCACATTCTATACAGTTTCTTAACTTCCCCTCACAACATAATATGCCACCTCCAGAGATACCTGAATTCTGGTGGCGTTTTTCGCTTCCAGAGCCACCTCTATGGTGGCGTGTGTATGCATACCTCAGAAAAGGTTCTCCAAAAAGCTTTACTGATTTATTTAGTATCTTGCTGATTCTCGCCGTCGGTTCATTTCTTCCCCAGATATTGCTCATCTGGAGAAAACAAACCATCAATGGGATCTCGTCGCTGAACGTCTTGTTGAACTTGATTCTCGCCACTGAGCATCTCACCATCTATATTTTCGGACTATTTGTTCTGGATGAACGAGAGCCCAGAATCTTTCTGCATTTACCCCCTAGCGCAGGGGACAGGTTTAGTGTGTGGCAATGTGCTGTGGTCACGATCCTTTTTTTGGCACTGTGAGATCCAATCCTAAAGTCCAGAAGCAACCTGGGTAGATGCTCATATTTGTCCTCCTAGATTCAGCCAAATTCTGGCCTATAGCAACCGGAGGATTTTCTTAGTTGCCACTTATACCAGCTTTCTCCTTATCTCGATCGTTCCTCTGATGATTATCAATTCCATCCCGCCGGCCGACTATCAAGCTCAAAGATTTTGGTCGGCAATTTTTTACTTCGTGCACTGCATCTACATTTACCCAATTCTCACAGCGCTAGGCGTTCTGGGAATCTTCTGTCAAGCTCGTGAGATTTTGATTGCACCCTTTCCCAATGCGCTGAGTTTGCAGGGTCTGGCTGTGCAAGCGGTTGTCTTTACGCTCGTCTCGGTGACATGGATACCAAGTCTTCCATTTCCGTATGAGAAACTGGAGGGTCATTACGACTGGACTACTTTTACTGTGTGGTACGGGACTGTTGGTTTCATCATCTTTGACAGTTTTGTCTTCGCCCTCGGCCAGACAGTGCTTCTGTTACTGGCCTTGCATCGCTCGTCTTCAAGCAAAGCCACTATACAACGGGGGACCGAGACAGAGCCTCTTTTGGGGCATCCCGCAGAGATATGAATCTCCAGATATCACCATCGCTTTCAAATTCGATGCCTTGTAAGCAAGAACCTCATTCAACCATTGTAAACTCGACCCAGTTACTAGCCGGCACCACAAGCCCAGGCCGACCCCCATTATCTTTCGGATCGCGGACAAGGTATTCAATCCCCACCACAGTATTTTCATGATCTCGAAAGTGTCCCCAATCCCACCAGTCAAGCTGCGTACCCTTAAACCTGTACCGGAATTCATCACCAGGCGCTGCATCCTTCGGGAAATGAGTCACCTCCCGCGTGAATGACCACGACTCACCAGGCAGCAGGGCCGCAAATTCATCCTTGTCGTTGCGGCCAACATTAACCGGGACGATCTCGGAAAATTGGTACATGTGGTACGTAAAGATGACCGGAATTTCAACTGAGCTCCAGTCGTCGTCACCTTTTCTTCTAAAGTAAAGCCTGAAACCATAGTCGCGATCATCGATCCATTTGAATATGAAAGTATGAAATGTGACCGGCTTTTCATCTAAGCCGTCTGGAGCAGCATCATACGAGAGTGTCATTGTGACCGGGTAGCGTAGTCGACCGTCTGGATTGCGATCTTTCATCGATAGCGTAGCAGGTCCTGCGATGGTGAGGCTGAAGACTGGGGCGCCACTCTTCCTGGCAGATGCCAACATCGGCGCGGGCGAAGGCGGCAATGGGGGTATCTCTTCTTCTATATCGGTTTCAACATAGTTAATGTGCAGTAGCTGTTCTGGCCCGCCTGGTAGGACCACTGCGGGGGACTTGGGGCCGAGGATGCGGCCGTTGTGCTGCGCTAATGTGCCCCAGTCCCACAAAGAGATTTGTCCGCCTATCCAGCGGATTTTGTAATCGTATTCTGGTTTGAGGGAATTGAAGTAGACAGACGGCAGGTCCAGCTCCCAAGAGACGCTGGTGCCTGGGTACAGTTGTTTGAAGCACGGGTCGGACTGGGATACGTTCCTTGGGTGGAGGGATTTTGCCCGCAGCTGGTTAGAGTCGACTTGAACGGGCCCCAGGTCCTCCGTGAAGTCATGATTAGAACGGACTAGCATTATACCCGGCTGGCCAAATGCATCCTCAATAGGGTCCCAATGGATGATGCATGGTTGTGTATGGGGATCATCTTCATCCCGCGTGATTCTGATGATGAGGGAGTATGACGTATCATAATAAGGGTCGACATATGATTTTCCTTCCAAAGTAAGAGTAAGACGTGGAGTCGCAAATCTGTCTGGCTTAGCTTTTTGTTGCATAGATCGTCAGGGAGCATCATACGATGTGTCTGCGTCAGAAGATCTCACGAAAGACGAGAGCTGACCCATTTGTGCTGGAGTCAAATGAAGTAAGTGGTGTGCGTGTGGGTAGGCGGTAGTTGGATGGACTGGGCCACTGGGGACTGGGGGCTGGGGCCTTCGAGGCAGGTATTTATACGAATCATCGTGTGCGCTAAGATAGTCCCTGTCACATGACGGGTAGTCCCCTGTCAACTGTCCTCTCATGGGCCCCCTGTAGCTAGTAGTAGCCTAGTAAGGAATAGGTGAACTGCCCGTGGAGTCAGAGATTGATCAGTATCAAGGGGTTGTGGTTGATTCGAAGCATTAAAGTTTAAGGAGAAGGTTGGTGCATCGCTGAGGTTCTGATGTGGCTCACTTGATTACTTATTACGTTGTCTGATAGTTTGAGCCTAGGAGGAGGCGTGGAAGAGAAGGTACACTTGCTTGCATGCTTCCAGCTATCATGAGGGTACCAGTACAAGAGGAGCAAACTATTTGGACAAGGGAAATCGGATTAAGCTGGCGAGAGGAAGAATGAAATATTTGACAACAGACCAGACAGAGAAGAAAAAAAAGGAAAAAGAAAGAGAGAGAGAGGGAGGAGTCTGGACAAGAGTGCTGGCGATCCCAGTTGCTTAATTGTCCATTATAGCATCAATCTTTTGTAGGATAGCATCACGGTAAAGTCCCATTCCAGGACTCCGTGGGTGGAAAGTTTTGATCTGTCGAGTAGGAGACCAGTCGGAGACATGCTGCGAGTTCACATTCCCATCTTTGATGGCCTGGGTCGCATTGTTGTACGACCAAGCTACTGGTCCATTCGGGTCCTGGTTGATCGCAATAGAAGCCAGACACAGGAATTTTTCATA